TTTGATGTTTTTATGTTAAAATCGCTCCGAACACTAAGCTTTTGGAAGGATTTCGTCTTGCGCGCGCGAATGTCCACTTTACCTTATTTTTTGCAAGGGATTCTTGAAATTTGATTATATTAGAACAAGAAATGTCATTTTATAGTGTTTTTTGCAAGGGAAAACGGATTACAACAAAACAACCGGATCTGGACCCCATCCACTTTTCTGAAGCTTTCGCGAAAAAATGATGAAAATGTAGCTGCGGCCTAGGCGCGGCGGGGGGGCCGTGCACCAGGGGTCCCAACAATAATTATTCTTTAGAATTAATAATGTTCAACAACAACAACAACAACAACAGCAGAAACAACAACAACACCACCACCACCACCACCACCACCACCAACAACAACAACAACAACAACGACAGCATCAACAACAACAACGACAGCAACAACAACAACATCAACAACAACAACAGCAACAACAACAAACACATAAACAAGCCACGAACCTGGAAATGGGTTTTGAATTGCGAGGCATGGAAGTGCTTCCAAGTACCTCAATTGGGCGATGGGCAGTGGTAATGCTGAAGATATCAATAGTGATGGCACTCTGATGGGGACGGCGTTGTGCTGCTCAGCGCTGTGCCGCGCCGCACAGTGGCGTGCCAGGGGACGCGCCACTGAACCTGCCAGGGGACGTGCCTGCGCGCCACGCCATGTGCCAGGGGGACACGCCACGGGACCTGCCCGAATCGATTTGGATTTCAAGATCAAGCTGCTTGACGGCCCAACTCGCCCAAAGCTAGCTCAAGCCGAAGGTCGCAGAAGCAACAATGAGCTCGAGCTCAAGATCCGACTCGGCTCCGAAAAGGAACGACACGACACGGGGCGCAGGGCGCATGGGCGCGCCACGGGATGTGCCAGAGGCGCACTAGGGGATGCGCCAGAGGACGGGTCAGGGGACGTGGCGAGGGAGGCTCCACTGAACGGGCAGGGAAAGCGCCAGGGGGGAAGCCAAGGAACGCGGCAGAGAACGAACACGGGGACGCGCCGAGTGTTTAGGGGCATGCGCAGTCCAACCCTGGGGCGGTAGAAGCTCACGCGCTCTCACGCCTGTCACGCTCTTGGGCATTGAAGTATCACGCTAGGGGCGTTGGGAAACCACGTGCTTTCACGCTTGTCCCACTGTGGGGCGATATGAACGCAACGGTTTTCACGCTTGTCCCGCTTTGAGGCGTTAGGACCCGTCCGGCCCTGGAGCGTTGGGAACCCATGGGCGGATTCCGGAAACCCTGAACCCCAAACAAATGCCATCCCGCTTCCGCTGGACTTCCGCCAACATCCGCCGGCGGAGGCGGTCTCGTTTTACTTCCACCGGCTTCCACCGCCGCCTTCCGCCGAGGAAGCGATTACAACTCCTTCGATCCTCGAAGGCAAGGCCTTTTTGGGAACGCCCCACATGTTTCTAGCTTCTCCCGCCCTGGGGCGTCAAAAACCATGTGTTTTCATGGGGCGTTAAGAACCCACGGGTTTTACGCTTGTCCTGCCCTGGGGCGTTGGGAGCCCACTTGTTTTCACGCTTGTCCTGCCCTGGGGCGTTAGGAATCCCTCTTGTTTTCGCGCGTGTCCCGCTCTGGAGCGTTAGGAGCCCACTCGTTTTCACGCTTGTCCCGCTCTGTGGCGTTCGGAACCCAAGTGACTTCACGCTGCCCCCGCGCTGGGGCGCGAGGAATCCCACGTGTTTTCGCGCGTGCCCCGCTCTAGAGTTTGAAGAACCCACATGTTCTCACGCCTGTCCTGCTCTAGGGCGTTCGGAATCCATGTGACTTCACGGTGATCCCGCGCTGGGGCGTGAGGAACCCAGGTGTTTTCACTCTTGCCAGGCTCTGGGGCATTGGGAGCCCACGTGCTTTCACGCTCGTCCAGATCTGACACGTTCGCTACGACAAAAAATAGGCGCGCTCGAAAAACCAAAACACACACACACACAAAAGCGGCCCAAGGAGAGGAGCAGCCGACAGGTCAAAACATCTACTTCGCTCGAAACATCCTCAACAAAAGTATGCAAAACAAGCGTTTCACTCGGGCCATGGGCATCAAACGAAATTGTCACTTCACCATGTGTTTTAATCGATCGGCGATTCAAAAACCAGCCAGTTTCGTTGAGGACATCTTCAACACTTAATCCGCCAGCCCTCTTCGACCTGGTTGCTTGTCGCAAACACATCCGCTGACCCTCTTGGGCAAATTACCTACGTCAACAAACCCTGGGCCCGCGCCCTCTGGACAGAGAGAATACGACAAGCACGCCCAAGCGACGCCCGGATTACCGGCGTGTGCGACCCCGACCTGGAAGACAAGACCTTGCCCAGACAAGACCGAACAAAAACGCCTAGACAGGCGCCCGAGCGGCGCTCAGACAACACCAGCGCACAACGACGGCCAGAGGAAGGTCGAGTGGCGCACAGCGACGAGGAGGGGCCCGTTCGTGGGAGGGCTCCGGCGACAGCGCGAGAGCCCTGGCAGCTTCTACAGCCATCGTGTGGTCATGTTAAAGGAGCCCTGGGACCCACAAACAATTAGAGACGCACCCCAAGACCCCAAAGATTTTTAACACATCTTCCGTCTTCCCGCCATTTCCCGCAGTTCCCTGTCTTTTCCTGGAAGTCGACGATTCATAGTGTCTCTGTTTGTGCGTGTGTGTGTGTGTGCGTGTGTGTGTATGTGTATGTATGTATGTGTGTGTGTAAGTGTGTGTGTGTAAGTGTGTGTGTGTGTGCGTGTGCGTGTGCGTGTGCGTGTGCGTGTGCGTGTGCGTGTGCGTGTGCGTGTGCGTGTGTGTGTGAGAGAGAGAGATAGAGAGAGAGAGATTTTTTCCCCTCCTGGCTGCATAGGGAGCGAAGAGATTGATTTGCTCCCGGCCACGGCGGTCCCGGGCCACGAATGAAAACTTCACGGCCCGCCTCTCGCTACCAGCCTCGAACGTACCCGTCTCCCTAAAATCGTCACGCCACAAGGCGATGACCATCTCAGGGATCCGCCCTCAAAAAATTAAGGGAGTCCCTAAGATTGGCATCGTGAGGAAGAGGTGCCCAGCATAGGGAGAGGGATCTGCTCCAGGCTGGTAATCTAGGGCGTGGCCCGAAACCAAAGGTCCCCACCCGAACCCTGAACGGTCCTCCTCTCGGCATCTTGACTGCACCGCGAGCCCAGACCTCCTCGCTGTACGAAAAATCACGACGGGAGGTTTTTCGTCATCGGCCTCCGGAAGCCTTTCCCGGGCATCGGGGCCGTCAGAAAACAACTCAGGATGAAAAACCGATTCGGGGAAGGGGTCCAAACCTCTGGGCGTCGAAATTGTGAACATGATCGAAAAATGGACACGAATTCGTGACGACAAACTTGGGCAACGGGCAACGGGCAATGCTCAAAATAACGATGCTGCGGTGCCGTGCCCCCCGGCGCGCCCTACTCTTCGGGTGCCACAAACGGGTTTGCCCATCTGGACACACAAGCAGGATGGCGATGATTTCTGCTCCAGGCCGCTCACACGCAAGCTTCTGTACTTACAGTGTGGCTGCGGCTGAGACGCCACAGAAACATCCGTGGATGGTGAAACAAAGCAGGCGCTGCGCATCGAGACCAGCGCTCGTGCTGGCGCGTCAGCGTGGCTGGGGGGGTGGCGCAGGCCTGAAATTCGCGCGCCCCCGCGTCGCAACGGGCGTTGTAGATGCGGTGTGAGCCTCGGGCGCGGGGGACTCCCAGCGCGATATGACCGGCGGAAGGCCTTCACGCGTCGGCCGTGCCAGCGGCAAGGGCCGCGGCCGCAGCGCCGCTGGAGGGGCCCCCGTCGGCGCGGCGACGCGGCCCCCGGCCTCGGGGCGCACGGCTGGCCTCGCAGCTACATTCGCAGTGCTGGCGCCATGGCGAAGTTGTAGCTCTTCACGGGCCCCCGTGGCCAGCGCGAGGAGCAAACGCGGAACCACGGGGGTGATGGCAGTGAACTTCCACGCAAGGAACTGCCTGTCCGCGTACTGGGGGAATGATGCATGCGATTCAACAGCTCTCGGCTGACGCGGTGGCGATCGAACATGCGGTCAAACTCGTCGCCGCGGCCGAGTTCCCCACAGGGGCGACAAAGGAGGGCCAGCGTCGGGTCCGCGGTTCGGAAAGCGGCAGATCGTGGCCATTTGTCTATCACTACATCAGGAGACTGCCCTCAGTGGGGCGGGCGTGGGGGGGGGGGCAACCACGATTCTTTCGGCCTTTTCAATCCGTGCGCTCCATAAACGTCGCCCCGACGCGGATCACCCATGGCCCGCGGGGGAGCGCGCCCTGGCACGATGGGATCTGTGATGCCAGAATTTGTCTGGCACATATATTCGTATACGCACACACGTGTATATATACACCTATACACACGTATTACAAACGTACATTATGTATGTTAGCGTGTGCATGTATATATATATATATATAAATAAATACATACATACATACATACATACATACATACATACATACAGACATACCTGCATGCATACATACAAACATACATACATACATACATAAATATATACCTACATACATACATACATACATACATACATATATACATACATACATACAGACATGCATGCATACATACATACATATTCGACACAGGGACCCAGGTGCGGTTGGAAGCAATGCTGGTGTCCCACTCTTTTTCTGGGTAGGAACTGATCCTCGGCTCCCGAACCAAGTGGCCGCCGGAGTCGTTCGGCGGGGGCGCGAAGCCATCCGTCCCGCCAGGGGGGCCCGAGGGCGAGCCCGAGGGTGGGCCCTCGGGCGGCGCCGTGCCCCGCAACGCACTGGCTGGGACCACTCTCTCCCAGGAGGCCAAGTCCTCGGGCGAGAGCTGCCGGCGCAGCAGAAAGGTGCTCGTCCCCGACATCGCCCATCCGCGCGCGGCGAAGAATCTTCAGGCTATTCAGAAGTAGGCGATCGGGATCGTCTCTCTTACTGGTCGAAGGCCTTGCGTTCAGGAGGCCATGCTCCTCGTCGTACGCCTGCAACTGCTCGCGCAGAGGGCCCGCCTGCCACTCGGGTCGCCGCGCCTCCGGGATCCCGTCGAGCAGCTGCTGCCACTGCGCCATGTCGCCCGGCGAGGGCTGCTCGCCCGTGAAGCGCTGTCGCTCTTGTGGGCCAGCGCGCTCTGCAAGTAGCGGCGCGCCCAGAGGTCGTCGTTACGGGGAAGGTCTGCCGCCTCGGTGGGCCAGCCTCCGACCGCTGGAGGCACTCGCCCACCACGCGCTGGCGTAGATCCTCGGGGCGTGATCTAATAAGCAGCTCCTCCCGCAGCTCGTCGACGCCGTGGCGCCTCTGGATGTCCTTCTGCGCCGCGGGCAAGCCCGCCGCCCTCGCCTCCCGCAGCACAGCAGGGACTGTCCACGTCCGCTTGGTCAGCGCCTCCCTCCGATCGGCATCCATGGCGGTCGCGGTGCCCAGGGCGCGTTGTCGGGCCTGGCGCACGGCCTCAAGCACGTCCTCCACGACCTGCAGTTGCTTCCCCTTGCGGGTGGAGACGTTGAAGGCTTGGGCCGCGTCCCCCAGCCGGTCATCATCGAGAGCCCTTCCCGCCTCGATCTGTCTCATCCGCTCCGTGCGCCAGGCGCCCTCGAGACCGTAGCGGCTGCGCGCCCAGCGCTGCCGCAGGTCATCCGTGGCCAAAGATACCAGCAAGGCCCGGCACGCGTCGATGCCTCGTGGGCTGCGACTGGCATAGCCCGGCCGCGGCAAGGGGGACCCTCGATGGGCCCAAGGCGCGCCACAGTGCCACCCTGGGAGGAGAGCTCGTCCTGGGCCGATCGCGGGGTGCACCCGGGCCGGCGCCTCCGCCCTGGAGGGATCTACGTGGGGCGGGCTCTTCGGCGGCTCCCGGCCCCCGGGGACTCGCGCGGAGCCCTGGGGGCGCCAACAGGAACGACCCTGCGCGAACAACTGCTCCTGGGTGAGACCCCCTCCCAGGCTGCCACGTGAAAACACGTGGCTCCAGCGCGGGACCACCATCTTAGACACCCCCTGGGTGGCCTCGACAGCGCGGTTCCAGCTCGGGACCAACATGTTATAGATACCCACCTGGGTGGCCTGTACACGTGAAAACACGTGGATCCAGCGCGGGACCACCATGTTAGATACCCACCTGTGGGCAGGACGCGGGAAAACATGGTACCAGCTCGGGACCACCATGTTAGATACCCACCTGGGTGCCCTGGACACGTGAAGCCACGTGGTTCCAGCTCGGGCAGAACATGTTAGATACTCCCCTGTGTGGCCAAGGAAATCCTGGAACAACTAACAAATTAGTCGAGACATCCTCGAAATTCCTGCGCGCGCAGGACGCGGCACGCGCGAGACGTCATCGGAATTCCTGCGAGCGGGACGTGAAAACAAGCATTTCGCCCGAGACATTCTCTGAATTCTGACCCTTCACGAGGCCCCTGCTCGAGACATCCCAACTCTGCAAAACCAGCGTTTCGCTCGAGACATCCTCAACACATTCTGAAACACAAGCGTTTCGCCGGAGACGTCCTCAAAAATTCGCTGGCCCAACGGGCCAGAGGCGTGCTAAGATCTCCGGTAACTGTTTTACAATATTTCTATTTCGCGCGCGCGCGCGGGGGGCGGCCCCTGGGGGTCCTCCGAGGAAAAGTACCCCAGCAGGGTCGGATCAGATGGTTTTCTGTCTGGGCGCCGCCCTCAAGACTCTCCAGAGAGTCCAAAGAAGGATCAAGAGGCCTCCAAGAGGCCCCCAAGATGATACGAGAGGGCTCGAAGATGCCACAAGATCGCTCCAAGACGCCTAAGATGGCCCCCAGACGCCCCAAGAGGCCTCCAAGAGCACTCTCAAGAGGGCCCCAAGATGCAACAATCATTGCTTTTTCCTTAGGTTTTGGACAGATTTTGGTGTTTCCATCTTTTCAGCTTCCCGACGCCCCAAGACGGCCCAAGAGGCCCCCAAGATCGCCCCAAGAGGGCCCAAGAAGCCCCCAAGAGGGTCCCAAGACGGCCCCAGAGGGCCCCAAGACGGCCCAAGAGGCATCCAAGACGGTCCAAGAGGGCCCCTAGAGCGCCCCAAGAGCGGCCCCAGAGGGGGAGCACGAAACAACAGTTCGAGCCCTCGGTCCTGAGAGTCCTCTAGGAAGCCCCAAGAGGCCACTAAGAGGACCCAAGAGGCCCCCAAGAGCACTCAGGAGGCCCCCAAGACGCCCCCAAGAGGCCCCCCAAGAGGCTCTAAGAGGCCCCCAAGAGGCCTCTTGGAGGCCCTAAGAGGCCCCCAAGAGGCCCCTACGGGCCAGCGGAATGAGCGAAGCGATTCAATAATTCCACCAACCTCCTTCAAACTCGTCATTAATCACAAAATACTTCCGCCGGCCTCCTTCAAGTCGAAACCGCGGGTAACAATACTAAAAGAGAACCCTGGGCCTAAGCTCTTTCTGGGAAAAAGAGAACCCTGGGCCTGCGCCCTTTCCGGGCCAACAAAAAGATCTACCCCACAAGGGCCCGCCTCGCGGCGAAACGCTGAGGCGACTCGCGCACCCCTGCAAGTGCCGTGGGCCGTGCCCGACCTCCCAGTAGCCATCTGGCAGCACGGCACGAGGCGATGGAGGCCTGGAAGCCAAAACCCACACACGGGCGGCTGCCTCCACCGAGCGAAGATGATCCTGGGCGTTGGTGCCGGAGGTGGTATCTCGGCCACCTATAGGAAGCCCGAATCCTACCACCGTCGCCGAGATCGGCATCCTCGTTCCTGGGTGGGGGCACGAGGAGGAGGAGGAGGAGGAGGAGGAGGAGGAGGAGGAGGAGGAGGTGGAGGTGGAGGAGGAGGAGGAGGAGGAGGAGGAGGAGGAGGAGGAGGGAGGAGGAGGAGGTGGAGGGGGAGGAGGAGGAGGGGGAGGAGAAGGAGGGGGAGGAGGAGGAGGAAGAGGAGGAGGAGGAGGAGGAAAGAAGGAGTAGGAGTGGCGGCAGCCTCCGGTGCGCGGCCCGCTCTGGTCGCTGCGTGCCCGGGTTATTGGCCACCCCCCTCCTCCCCATGCAGCGCACCTATAGGGCCGGCGACACCCAGTGTCACTCCAGAGAGACGGTAGCTGCCCCCCACCATTGGTCACCAAACCTCCCCCTCGTTCCCCCCCTCCCCCCCTCCCCCGTGATCCCAGCCTCCCCCTCATCCTCATCCTCACACTCCTCCGCATCCCCACGCGTCATCCAGCGCGCACCCGGATCCGGCGCACCCAGCGTCGCTCCAGAGAGACGGTATCTGCCCCCCCCACCGCTGGTCACCATCCTCCCCCTCCCCTGACCTTCCAGGACGGCAAAAAAATAGCACAAGGACGTCGACGTCCTGATTCCTGTCGAGGCTTGGGGCAATCCAGATTGATCTCTAGGTCCGGAGTGCTATTTGCTAGCACTATGGAAGGTCAGGGTCCTTCCCCCTCCCACCCCCCCCGCGATCCCATCCTCCCCCCCATCTAGGGAGCCCACAAAGGACGTACGCGCCCATCTATGTACATGAACACGGCCCTTCGATCCGCGAGACTGGCCGCCTGATACGAACATCTGCGCAAGGCGTACTCTCGAAACCGGCGTGGATTCATGTACGTGTACGTCCTTCTTTCGCTCCCGACCACCCTCATCCTCACGCTCCTGCGCAGCCCCCTGCGTCGCCGCCCCCCCGTGAGTCCTCGCCCTCCGCCCAGAGCGCTCCTCCGCCCCCTCTTCCTGAGGAACGTGAGCCCCCCGACTGCCCACCCCTCCCACGATCCTTCCCTAGAAGATTACCTATGCTGCTGCTGCCTTTCCTCCTCCTCCTCCTCCTCCTCCTCCTCCTTCTCCGCCTCCCAACCCACTCCTCTTCCTCCTCTGCTCTCCCAGCCTCCCCCCGCCCCTCTTCCCTTCAGATACCACCCTTTCTCCCCAGTCCAGATGGGCAACCACTTGAACTCGTCGCTATCGTGGCCGAAATGTGTACACGCCGCTTCCATCTGGTGCTGCTTCGCCTTAAGCACCAATTCCTCCTGGCCCCCCCAATCGCTGAGAGTTCCAAGCAAGAAAGCGGGAGGCTCGAGGATTTCAGAATGTGTACCAGGTCAGGAGGTGGAGAGCTGGAGACCATGAGAGAGCGGGGGCGGAGTGGAGAGGAGTGGGAGCGGGGGAAGTGGAAGGGGGAGGGGGATGGTGCGGGTACGATACCCATCATGTCGAGGTCTCGACTCCGAGCGCGACCACGAGACCATCTGCCCAATCGCTGAAATCAGAGGCGACGATAGGAGCGAATAGCTCAGGGGAGGGCAGTGCACGTAACTTCAGGCGCGCGGATGATCTGTGTCTTCGAAGAGGCTCCCGGGCGAATCCGTGCAAAGGCCGCCCCTGGGCCATGCGCCCCTCTCGTCGCCGCCGCTGGAAGACCATCTCGCTCTCCTCGGGCCAGGGGCGGCCGGCCCCGGCGCGGGACAACACGTGGGCCCACGGCCCGGGCGCGGCGGGAGGACTCGGGGTGAAATCCATGTGGGCTTCTGTACTAGGGCGACGAAATCTATACATATCCACTCCTCCCTGGCCAGGCCCATCCTCAACCCCGCAGCGGTGTATACGCCACGCCCTCCTGGCTTGGCCAGGAGGGCGCATACACAGCTCCTGGGTTCAAGATGGGCATGGTCAGGGAGCAGTGGATATGTATAGATTTCGTCGCCCGATGTACCTCGAGGATCCATCCGTCTGGTGAGTCGCCGCTTGCGCATTCGAGCCTGGAGCATCCATGGAAACGGCGTTTCCGATTTCACCCTTTGCCCTTTGCCCTCCATCCAGAGAGAATGCCCGGGTGGCACAAGAGAGGAAAGGTAACGCACGACCTGGGGATTGACGAGGGCGGAACAGGAAGAAGGAACAGGATCGACCCACGAACCTGGAAAGGGATGGATAACTGCGAGGCATGGAAGCTATTCTGAGGACCTCAGTCGCGCGATGGGCAGTGGCAATGCTGAAGATATGGATGGTGATGGCGCTGTTCCGCTGCGCTGCGCCATGCTGCACAGTGACGTGCCAGGGGACGTGCCACGGGACGCGCCGCGGGACATGTCAGGGGGACGCGCCGCGGAACGTCCAGAGGGACGCGCCAGGGGGCGTGCGACGTGCCATGTGGATGCACCGCGGAATGTGCCAAGGGGACGCGCCGCGCGACGTGGCAGGGGGACGCGCAAAGGGACGCGCCACGGATGTCCTCGGGAACGCGCCAGGCGACGCGCCTGGGGACGTGCCAGGAACGTGTCAGGGAGCGTGTCACGGGATGCGGCACGGGACGAGGCACGAGACGCGCCAGAGGCGCGCCAAGGGACGAGCCGCGGATCACCTTGAGCCTCCTTGGACTTTCGCGCCCCGTTAGAATCGAGATGTCAAGGGCCATACCACAGCTGGTAAATCATGCAGCGGCCGGGCTCCCTGGACTGCGATCCGTCGTAGCATCCCGCTGGGTCCGCACTCCCAGTCTGCTGGGTCCGCACTAGTAAGTGATGCTGCGTCCGCTCCCACAAAGCCTCGAGCCCCGGTAAGTTACGCTGCGACTGCGCTCCCGGTGCCACGACCCTTTGCAAATTACGCTGGATTCGCGCTCCCCGTGCCACGATGCTGCGCACCATGCGCGGGACCCCTAGTACATGACGCAGGTATGTCGAAGGTATGCCGAAGGTGCTCTAAAGGCACGCCGGACACACGCTCGTTGAAGGCCAGCCGAAGGCAGGCTCACCCCAGGACGCCCGTCGAAGTTTGGTGCAGGGACGTCTCGCTCGCCATCGCAAAAGAAGGGCCCCCTGGAGGCACGCAAGGTGTTTCTTGGCATGGGCCTTCACTTGCCAGAGTCGAGCAGGGACCGACCGTCCCGGCATTCCTATAGCCCTACCACGAACAGCTCGTAGAACCCAGAAGCGTTCCTGGGAAGCACATGCTTTTGGAGCATCAGCCCGGTGTGCTGAAATAAGGCAGGCTCCGCCAGAAATGTCCCAAGAACACTCCGTGGAAACCACAAAAAGGTTCTCAGAACAGTGTTTGTGAAGGGGCCCTGGGACACACAAATAAATACGCACAAATAAAACTGTTCCCCCTATTTCCCAACGTTTTCTGGGTTGCTGTCTTCCCCACCACTTCCCATGTTTTCCCATGTTTTCTGGGGAGGCGACGAGTCATTGTGTCTGTGTGTTTCTTCCCCTCCTGAGTTTGGTGGGCCCCTCGGCGAGCCAGGACGCCTCGCCACTGCCTGCCAGAAAAGGGGGCGCCCGCGGCAGAGCGGAGGGCAGCGGGGGTTGCTCCGGCCGCGGCGGGCCTCGGCCGCGGGGCGGCCCCCCGAGACCCAAGGGGGCAGGGAGCGGCCCGAGGAGCAGCAGCCCCGCCCCGGGGCCAGGACGGATGTGCCCACCAGCGCCACCAGGAGTTGGAGGCGCTCGAGTCCCCCTCCTCCTCCTCCTCCTCCTCCTCCTCCTCCTCCCCCTCCTCCTCCCCCTCCTTCCCCCCAACCTATGGTGGTGGTGGTGGTGGTGGTGGTGGTGGTGGAAAACAGGCTCATCAACATGATGGACCCACGAACTTGGAAAGGGATATAGACATGTGGAGCATGGACACGTTTTCACGATACCCAACTGGGCAACACCTCACGAAACATCCCACGAGACACTTCACGAAACATCCCACGAGACACCTCACGAAACATTCCACGAGACACCTCACGAAACATTCCACGAGACACCCCGCGAAACATTCCACGAGACACCCCACGAAACATTCCACGACGACAGGCAACCACTCAACCAAGGCGGTGTGGTCGTGCTGGGGAGTGGTCGTGCTGGGGTGTGGTCGTGCTGGTGGGTGCTGGGGCGTGGTCGTGCTGGGGGGGTGGTCGTGCTGGTGGGTGCTGGGGCGTGGTCGTGCTGGGGCGTGGTCGTGCTGGGGCGTGGTCGTGCTGGGGCGTGGTCGTGCTGGGGTGTGGTCGTGCTGTGGTGAGGTCGTGCTGGGGTGTGGTCGTGCTGGGGTGTGGTCTTGCTGGGGTGGGGTCGTGCTGGGGTGGGGTCCTGCTGGGGTGTGGTCGTGCTGGGGTGTGGTCGTGCTGGGGTGGGGTCGTGCTTGGGTGGGGTCGTGCTGGGGTGTGGTCGTTCTGGGGTGTGGTCGTGCTGGGGTGTGGTCGTGCTAGGGTGGGGTCGTGCTGGGGTGGGGTCGTGCTGGGGTGTGGTCGTGCTGGGGTGTGGTCGTGCTGGGGTGTGGTCGTGCTGGGGCGTGGTCGTGCTGGGGTGGGGTCGTGCTGGGGTGGGGTCGTGCTGGGGTGTGGTCGTGCTGGGGTGGTCCGCACCCTGTGATTTATCGATCGGGTCGTGCTGGGGTGTGGTCGTGCTGGTGCTGGGGTGTGGTCGTGCTGGGGTGTGGTCGTGCTGGGGTGTGGTCGTGCTGGGGTGTGGTCGTGCTGGGGTGTGGTCGTGCTGGGGCGTGGTCGTGCTGGGCGTGGTCGTGCTGGGGTGTGGTCATGCTGGGGGTGTGGTCGTGCTGAGGTGTCCCGCACCCTGTGATTTATCGATCGGGATTTCAAAAACAAGCGTTTCGCCTGAGACATCCTCAAATTTTAATCCGCCGGCCTCCTTCGACCTCAATATTTATCAGGGAAAGAATCCGCCGGCCTCCTTCAAGTTGGGCACCGGGGACATGTTTACATAGAAAAAGAGAACCCTGGGCCTGCGCCCTTTCCGGGGAAAATGACGACGGTGACGGCATTGAATAAGGCCGTTGGATAAGGACGCCAGGGTCCGGAAGCCGGCGGAACTCCAATCGAAGATCGGCTGTGAATATCACCGCCACCCTCGTTAGATCAGGAATCCTCCAGGGCCTGACGCCTCCTGGGCACACTCCTTAACAAACGCCCCCGCCGTAATTTCAGCGTCTTTGCTGTACGTCAGATTCGCGTCGCGATGGCGTGGCCGTTGGCATGGCTTGGGGTACCAACAGGTCCCGATGCCCCTACTCCCCAGACCTCTCGCGGGGTGCGTTCTGACCATAATGTCGAGTCGAGTCCAGCGGCTGCGGCGAGGGTTTCCCATGAGGCCCAACACATGCTCGACCCACGAACCAGGAAAGGAATGTAGAAATGAGAGGCATGGCACAAATTTCAAGACACCTGAATGGGCGACTGGCAATTGCAATGCTGAGTGTATCGATCTTGATATAGCATGCCAAGGGCTGTGCTGTACTGTGCCTTGCTGAATTGCGATGTGCCATGCCGCGATTGTGCTCTATAGCGCTGTGGATCGAGTCAGTCCTGACCGAACTGATTTGGATCTCAAGCTCGAGCTGCCTGAGTACATGCTGCCTGAGGACTAGTTGAAGTAGAAACGTGGAGGACGTTCAATCAACTCGGTTCAGCTCCGAGAAGGAACGACACGACACGGGGCACAGGCTCACGGTCGCGCCACAGGATGTGCTACGGGCGCAATAAGGGATGCGCCAGGGGACGTGTCAAGGGACGTATCAGGGGATATGCCCTGGACGTGTCAGGGACCTGCCACGGGATCTGCCAAGGTGCGACCTGAGGACGTTTTGCCAAGGGACGTTGCAAGGGGCGCGCCATTGAACGGGCGGGGGAGACGCATGGGGACGAGCCAGGAAGCGAAACAGAGGACTAGCCAAAGAACGTGCCACGCCGAGTGGCGTGCCAGGGGACGTGCCAGATTAGAACGTCGCCATGGGCGCGCCAGTGGACACGCCAGCGCGCCAGGGGACACCCCACGGACGACCTGGACACGTGAACCAAAGCGTCTCACTCGAGACGTTCTCAACACCTCCTTATGCTAGACATCTGCCTTGGCAACCAAGCGTGTCGCTCGAGACATCCTGCCCAAACCATCAGGTTAGAAATCCGCCTGGGCGACCTGGACACGTGAAAACAAGCGTGTTGCTCACCATATCCTCAACACATCCGCATGCTAGACATCCGCCTGGGCGACCCGGACACATGAAAACACGAGGTTCGCCCGATACATCCTCGAAA